AAGGGGGGCGCTCGATCTGGCTTCCTACACCTGCACGCCGGATCGGGCTGTACGCTCTACCTCCCCACTGCCTCCCAGAAAAGGGAAGAAGAGCATAATATTTTCTTTTCTCTTGCGGTTAGCTGACTGCCTTAGCTGCCCAAGTGAGGTCAGCCCTTTTTAGCCATAGCCAGTGACTGGTCCTCTCAGCAGTGTTAGCTAGTTCTCTTATAGCCTGCCATTGCACCTGTCCTCTGATCCCAATCTCTCTAAGCAGTTTTGCTGTTGTACTGGCAACAAAGCCCCTGCACCCCACTTCCATCGGGCGCACCTTGATCTTCCAGCCTCTGCTTCAGCTGCCAAGTTGGCATACCGCAGCTTCTTACACTCAATTGCTTCCTCCCATGGTACCGTCAGCTCAATGACATACACAAGTTTTGGGGAGTTAGACCAAAGGACGAGGTCTGGTCGCAGAGTAGTTGTTACGATCTCTGTGGGAAAAATTTGCCTCTGATCCAAGTCCGCTTGCATCTGCCAATCCCTGGCAACCTTCAGCTGGCCAAGATCTGGTGTTGAAGGGCTCGTCCTCGACTTGTCTCCCTCCCGGACAAATGCTGCTGAAAACTGATGCTCCTCTTGGCTCGTGAAAGGTTGAGCGTTGATGGATTTTCTTTTGCGCTCAACTTTCTCGGCTAGACAGATGAGATGCTAGATGTGCTTGAGTGTTGCTGGGACTGTACACAGGGGGCAGGCTGGGTCCTTTCCAAACCACAGCTGCAGATTTATTGGGGAAGGTAGAACATGGTACGTCGCTCGGATGATGAAACTTAGTCTATTAGACTCCATTGAGGTCTGCGTTATACCACCGTCCCAGGCTCTTTCTGGACTTCTCTAAGACTGTTGGAATTGGTTCTCCACTGATATAGAAATTGCTCGGCTGTCAGTTTTCCTTTTATGATGGAGATGCTGCCAGATTTACTTGGCTTAAACTTCATTCTTGCCCATTCATGTTTTTCTAGAGCTTCTGTAGCAGTCACCTAGTACATGGTTTTGTTGTTGTAATAATGGTCATGTCATCCATGTAGGCCCTAATGGGAGGAAGATGAAGGCCACTCTTTCGTGTGGAACTGACCCAAAGGCGTTGGCAAGGTCTAAAAAGACCACGTGAAGATTCCTTTGTTCTTTCTTGGCACTTTGAATCTGGTGCCAGACGACGCTGGCATGCTCCAGACATCCTGAGAAGCCGGCCTTCTGCACTGATGTGTCAATATAGTTGTTTCTTTGCAAGAAAGTAGATAGTCTTTGGGCCAAGACACTGAAGAAGATCGTTCCCTCTACGTTCAGCAGGCTGATCTGGCAAAACTGGCTGATGGATGAGTTCTTCTCCTTAGGGATCAGAATACCTCCTGCTCTTCGCCAAGCCTTTGGAATCACTCCTTTCTGCCACGCTACCTTCATCAGCTTCCACAGGTATTTGAGAACTCATGGGGTGTTTCCATAGAGCCTATATGAGATGCCATTAGGTCCTGGAGCCAATGCTTCTCTTTCCTGCTTCGCTGCCTTCTCCACTTTACTCCATGTAGGTGGTCTTATGTCCATTTCATGTTCAGGTGCCTGGATAGGTGGCATATCAGTCAGAATAATAACTGGCTCATGCCTCCGATGCTCAGAGTAAGTTTTCCTCAGGTGATTTTCCAGGTCTTTTATGGGCATTTTGAGGCACCCACTCTTCTCTTCGACAGAAAGGCCCTTAACAAAGTTGTATGGGTTGCTGTAGAAAAGGGTCCTTGTCCGTTCTTTCCTCTTACGTTGTCATCTGAGTTGTTCTGCTCTTCGCAGCTTGGTAAGTTGTTGCTTTATTTCCTCCTGCAGGGCAGTGAGTCCCTCCCTTTCTGTCTCATATGCCCTCCTCCACTGCTTCCTCAGCTGTCTTCTCTCTTTAATTAACCTGTCAAATTTCCGCTGTCTCCTCGACTTTGACTGGTTTAAAGGGCCTTTCTGCTGTCTCTGAGTCTCGTTCTTTACCCCAAATCGCTCAGCCCCATAGCTGCAGATTATGGTTCCCAGGTTCCCCAACTTCTTTTCAGGACTGATTGTATATAGTATTTTATTTTATTCTATTCTATTTTGTACAGTTGTGTGCACTGTCTTATTGGTATATTAGTCCAGTGTTTTGTTTGTTTGTTTGTTTCTAATTTTTCTATGTAACTTTGCACTGTCCACTGCTGTAACAAAACAAATTTCCCACGCATGGGACTAATAAAGGTTATCTTATCTTATCTTATGATTCTGATTCCTCTATAATTGTAATCGTTTTATCTCTAATAATAAAAAAAATCTTCCCGAACTGCTTCACGAGCCACTGTTTTCTTTCATTGCCCCTCACTCCATACACATGTCCAACGTACAGCTCTCACTTCCTTAATCTCGTGAGCCTGCTACCACTACGGCAAACCCAGAAGGACAACAAATACCAAGTGCACACAATATAAACAATAACAACATCGCTCACCTTCTCAACAAAGCCCAAACTCTTCTGGGATTTTCTTACCTTCAGCTCTCCTCCTCCCAGGTTATTCACACTACTGCCTACACCAGGATGGTCAGACATTGCTCTGGATTTTGTTACATGCCTACCTCCATTGGCAGGTAATACTACAATACTCACCATTACTGACCGCTTCTCCATGGCTGCCCATTTTTATTGTACGGTCAGTTACCTTTAGCTATTAAGATGGCCCAGTTGCTCCCTGATCATGTGTTCTGTTTGCATGGCCCGCGTTCAAATCCAGTGTATCGAATGAGTTCTGTTTCACTATCAGAGCCCAGGTCAGTTTCTCTTCTGGTTCTCTCCTCAAACAAACGGTCAGACTGAAGAAGGGAATCAAGATTTGGAGTCTTTGTTGCAACACCTCATGAAATCTCTCTACTGGCCTGGGTGGAACATGCCCATAATTTGATGACATCGTCAACTAATGAACTGTTCCTTCTTGAATAGTCACTCAGCTATCGACCTCCTCTGTTCTCTGTTACTGAAGGGGAGCTATGTGTCCCTTTTGTACAGCATCACCTTTACGGTTGACAATCACAGCTGGATTTCTGCGCCATCATATGGATCAGAAAGTCTGGTTATCTGCAAAAAATATTCCTTCATGCATTGAATCAAAGAAACTTTAACCTCCTAAGACCCGAACTCTTCCACGGCATGCATTTTGAATTTCTCTTTGATATTTGGGCATATTGGGGCCCAATGAATGTAAAAACAAAGAATTACCAGATTTTTTTTAACCTTATTTTTGTTTTTAAGAAAAATAAGAGCCACATATAAGGATATTCGCTTAAAATTTTGATAGAACAGTAGCAGTATAATGTATAAGTGGATATCAGGCCCTTGTAGAGCAAAATTGTGTATTTTGGCCTAAATAACCCAAAATGCGATGTCCACATGTGGACGCCTGCTTGAGACATCCTCTTAATAGAAGGATTAAGATGTTTGTCATGTTTTTCACAGTTAAAACTAGTGTGTCCTCCTCCTAGTAGGGTTGCAGCAATCTTCAGCTTCAGCTTGTCAATCAACCAAAGACCCAGACAGAGGTTTCATTCATTTGAAAGCCTGACCTCGTCCACCCCAGCTGTGAAACTCAGAAACCAGTCTTATTGGTTATCATCTGTCGTCCACCTGGGCCTTACACAGAGTTTCTGTCTGATTTCTCAGACTTTATATCTAATTTAGTTCTGAGCTCAGATAAAATAATTATTGTGGGTGATTTTAACATCCATGTAGATGCTAAAAATGACAGCCTCAACATGGCATTTAATCTGTTATTTGTCTCTAGCACATTTTCACTCTAATCCATTATACTGGTCTACACGCTGTACCGTTCCATTGTGATGAGAGAGCTGATGTGAAAGCTAAGCTCTCAATTTACAGACCAGTCTGCATCCTTACCCTCACCTGTGGTCACGAGCTTTCTGTAGTGATCGAAAGAACACGATGGCGACACAAGCAGTGGAGAAAAGGGTGACTTGGTTGGGAATTATTTGTTTTAATGTCTATATTTAGAGTTTCAATGAGTATTTTTTTTCACTTTCAATACAAAATTTTTCTGTTTATTTATTTCACTTACAATATTCTTTTTCAATGTCAGTATTTTTTTTTTGTTTCATTTTAAACTGGCTTCTTTTTAACCCCATAAGAAATCAGATGAATCAGATGATAGAGCACAGAGAGCGGAGCTGCGGCACTACATGAAGAAGCAGTGATGTGCCACCGATTTCCTGTCCGATCCGATACAAGTAAAAATCAGGGTGGTATCGACGATACTGATCCGATACCGATACTTTGTACAAAAACTTATTTTATTTATTGTGTCTCAAATTATAGCTTCATAATGCTTATAGGACATCAGATTACTTGTTCTTATCACTTAATAATAAACAATTATCATATAGAAATAAGAACCTGAAGTTGTGCTATTTGAACACCTTGCCTGCCTGCAGCACTAAAGGACTCCCTGAGAGACGTCTGTCTCGCCCTAGCAGCACCTGTCCTCCTCTTCAGTTCACCTCAACATACGCTCGTCATATTCTGTGATATGATTTACTCTGAGGTGCTTGATGAGGTTAGGGGTGTGGCCACAACACCTCACTGTCTTGCCACATGTATCGCAAACCACGTCTTTGCTGTTTGTGGAGGTAAAATACGTCCACACATGACTCCGTTTACGCTCAGCTATTGTTGTGAGTGTGCACACCAGGGGCTGCCACACATTTATACAGCCGTGTTTCACACATGACTATGAAAGACGTGAGAGGAAGTAGTTCCTTCCAATGTAGAGAATCAGAATGATATAGTAATTTACCCTAAATTACTAAAATATCGATATTTTAATATGAGAATCGCTTCTAGAACATAAATGACTGGTATGGGAGGAATCGATGTTTCAGTATCGATCACATCACTATGAAGAAGTCGGGAGTGACATGTGAGGGTGATGCAGGGCATGTATGATGGTGGTGAGACGTGCTGCTGATGGACCACCATAAACAGGTCCCGTGTAGTACTGCAGTAGAGGAAGGCTTCCAGCTTCAGCTTCTTTCTGAACCACGCCCGACAGGGTCTAATATCATATTTCGATAAACACCCCCTGCGTGAACAAGCGACAACCGGCCCATCCGGCTGTTTGATAAAGCGCACCCACAACCGATTGGCTACGGGTTTTGTGACGTTACCGGATGTGGAGAGAATACAGTGGTCCACCGTAACGCGAGGTGAGTGTTTGTGTCGACGTGTGGTGTTATAGTTGTCTCCAAGGATGCACCTTAGCTGTTTAAATATCATTGTGAGCAACCTTGACACGCAGCGAATGCGCGGTGTTTGCGGCTGCATGTGTTTCAGCATTACTCTTGCTGGGACCCAGTATGCACAGAACACGTCTGCCTGCCTTGTGCACTTCACACCGGTGCTTATCTGCTCTCAACAACGGTCAACAGTCTGCGCAGCCACGACGGTGCTGCTTTTAGATCTTTTCCTTTCCACTTTCTTTGCATTCTGACGGATTATTGGAGGACCTGTTGCAGCGCTGCGTGTTTCACTCATGCACTGAGTTAGTGCAATGCTAACGCTATCTGTAGGCAGTGATAGACCAGATGCTGGTGCAACCCATTCAGTCCACACATGTAACGAAATCAAACCGCAGATGATTCTGTGCAATAACGAGAAACGACGCAGGGAAAAAGTATTGAACATGCGAAGAAAGGGAGGCGCGAAAAGTCACCACACCGTCTCAAACCTGTCAGGAATTACAAAGCAATCTTCCAAATTAGCATCAGCTGGTTCAGTCCCAACCGGTGGCCTATGAAGACGGTGTCATTAACAAGGTTTAATACAGGACACATCCTGTAATAGGTAAAACCAATGAGCTCTCTCAACATGTACTAATACAGTCTGCTCAAACATGTAACGTCCAACACATGTTTGCAGGCCAAAGGCGTGCGCGTCTCTCCAAAAACACCAGACCAACAGTGAAGCTGTTACCGGTCATATTAAAATCCCACAGCTCTCTTCTGCATTCAGAATTTATTTATTTATTTTTAGAAAGAGGGGCAATACATATTAATGAACATGTTAACAAATGTAAATATGCCAGATTATAGCCTTGGGCTAATTTCCATCTGCAGCCCCTCTGGGGAATAACATCAATGTTGATAAGATTGAAACTGTTTAGATCAATCAATCTTTATTTATAAAGCACTTTTCATACAGAAAAAATATAGTACAAAGTGCTTTACATAGTTAAAAGCAGCCCACCCCACCCTCCAACTCACTCCCCACACTCTCAATACACATATATCCCCCCACCCACACACACACACACACACACACATACACACACCCGCACACTTAAAGAGTAAAAATTGGGCTGGGCTCGCATGAGCCAAGTGAGGAAACATTATAACAGGGAGCCGTCTGCACCGGGAGCCGGTCACAGACCGCAGCCTCCGGGCTGGGCACACAGCAGGAGGGAGGCCAAGGAGCCCCCCAACCAGGCTGAGAGGACCCCAGAGACCCAGCAGCCACGGTCAATAACAGCCCCGGTGCAGAGAGCGCCCTCCGAGGAAACACTGGAGATATGACGCAATACGATGTATACAGGGTAAAACGATAAAATAAATAAGAACAGGATACAATATAAATATAAATATAAATATAAATAGAGTAAGAAGATTAAAAATGAATAGAATAAAATCAAAAAATATTAGGTAAATCCTAAATTAATAATAGAATAACAGGATAGAATAAATAAGCATAAAATAAATAAACGCTAAGTATAAGCTAAATTAAAAAGGTGGGTCTTGAGCCTGTTCTTAAAAACATGTACATTCTCTGCGGCCCTGAGCTCCTCCGGCAGGCTGTTCCACAGATGAGGACCATACCACTGAAAAGCTGCCTCTCCATGAGTATGTGTCCTGACTTTAGGGACAATCAAAAGGCCAGCACCAGAGGACCTCAGGGTCCGCGAGGGTTCGTATGGTAAAAGCAGATCTGAGAGATAAGAAGGCCCAAGACCATTAAGACATTTAAAAACCAATAAAAGAACTTTAAAATCGATCCTGAAACACACGGGGAGCCAGTGCAGCGATTCTAAAACCGGTGTAATGTGGGCCCGCCCTCTGGTCTCCGTCAGCACACGAGCTGCCGAGTTTTGCAAGAGTTGTAAAGGTGAAATATTCTTCTTAGGAAGACCAGAGAGCAGGGCAGTAATCAATGCGACTGGTAATAAAAGCATGCATCAGCATCTCCGTGTTGGCCCGAGAGAGAATAGGGCGACTCTGGCTATATTTTTTAGATGATAAAATACAATTTTAGTTACATGTTTAATATGTGGGATAAAACCAAGCTCAGAGTCAAAAATAACACCCAGGTTTTTCACTTGTAGCGAAGGACATAGTGAAAATGCCTGTAATTTAGACAAGAGTTTCTCTCTCTGAGCCTCAGGACCGACAATTAAAACTTCAGTTTTGTCCTGGTTAAGCTGTAAAAAGTTTTCTGCCATCCAAGATCTTATATCCAAGACACAGTTAAAAAGGGCATCCATTGGTCTGGTGTCATCAGGAGACACGGAGATGTACAGCTGCGTGTCATCAGCGTAACTGTGGAAGTTCACTCCATGCCTCCTGATGACACTGCCGAGAGGGAGCATATACAAATTAAAAAGTACAGGGCCTAGAACCGACCCTTGAGGCACACCACATGTCATTTCATGGATCTTAGAGGAGCATGTTCAATTTTGTCTATGGCGACATCCTGAATAACATCCAGAAGTCTCTCTAACAAAAATCATCAGTATGTCAGCAGATCTCCCTGCTCTGCTGACATACTGACAACAATCAGAACCAAAAATGTCACTTTTAAACGAACCACTCAGTCAGTCCAGTTTTCTTTCATTCGGCACACCTCAGCCCTCTCCTGGTTTCCCTTCCTCAAGAAGCAAAATGATATTTAAGAAAGAAAAGTGTTACTTTTCAAAACCCTGTGTACTTAACTATACTTGTTTACTTGTTTCTTATGTAGATAGTTTGTCTTGTGAAAAACTCGTGATGAGTTGAACCTTCTAAGGCATAGGTGTCAAACTCTGGCCCGCAGCCTAATTACATTTGGCCTGCGAAGCCATACCAAGTTATTATCAGAGCTGGCCTGCTGGTATTATACAGCTAATATATATATTGTTTAGTATTAAGCTTTGCTTGTTCCATATTCAGTTTTTCAGCACAACGTGTTTGAGTCCATAAGAAAAGATTCATTCTCATATCTGGAGGAATAAATATATTTCAATAAATATTAACGTTAGCCCGCGACTTTGTTCCAGTTTTGAATTTTGGCCCACTGTGTGTTTGAGTTTGACACCCCTGCTCTAAGGCCTCTGCATGTCAGCTAAACAGAGACTCTCAGCTGCAGTTAAACTTCCCTATTATAGAGGTGCAGCCATTGATTTCTTCCTCAGTCTGAGGAGCCACTTGCGCTGATATAAAACTGCCAGACTGAGCCTAACATTTTGGCTCATTAGCTTCAGTTATATTTGTCATGTGCACGTTAGCACAGGGTCAAAATGTATTTGACGAGCAGAAGACAGTCACTCAGCAGGACAGTAAGGGTTAAGGGTCAGTAAGAGGAAGGGTTTTTATTTAAATACTAACAAAAAAATAAGAATGGGGTGACCAGTGCAGAGTGTATTGTGTACCTGAGAAACTGCAGGACAGCTGTGTGCATCCTGTGAAGTGTTGTGGTTGAGGTGTCGACTTGGTGGTAAAATCTGTTTTTGAGTCTTGTAGTCCGAGCAGACAGAACCTGTAACGTCTGCCAGATGGTAACAAAGAGAAGAGCTGATGTGCTGGGTGGCTGTGGTCCTTGGTGATGCTGTGTGCTTTACGGAGGCATCGCTGGAGATAAATGTCCCGAATGGCAGGAAGCCTCATGCCAGTGATGTGCTCTGCTGCTTTCACCCTCCGGAGTGATTTCCGGCTGCTGGCACAGCAGCTTTGTACCAGACTGTGATGCAGCTCGTCAGCAGGCTCTCGATCGCACACCTGTAGAGGTTTGAGGGGATGTTGGCGTTCATGCCAAACGTCCTCAGCCTCCTCAGGAAGTAGAGTCATCGTTGTCTGTGATGAGGCCTTTGATGGTTGTGTCATCCGCAAACTTAATGATGGTGTTGGACTCATGTTTAGCCACACAGTTGTGTATGAACAGGGAATATAGGAGGGGCTAAGCACACATCGCTGTGCTCATATGGATTACCTGTGCTAGGTTTGGACATGTTCAATCTTAGCAGCCACCATAAACACAGGACACATATGACTGAAAATAAGGGAAACCAGACTTGGATGCATTCACAGAATGTGCATGTATGTGTCTTTGCCTGTGTTGGCAACCTTTACCATCATTAGCTGAGCTGTCTCATGGATGTAGGCGGTGATATTAATAGTACTTGTTCAACTGTATGTGTGTAGGAGAGGGGGTCAGGGGGTCACCATATGTTTTGCTATTAAAAATGACAAAACGTGTTTTTTCTCTTTCAGAAAATTGGAAATGTGTAAGACTGAAGCCTCTCAGAAGCTTTTAGGTTGTGTCCTGTAGTTACCACAGAATTCATGGCAAACCATGAATACTTCCTTATTAAAACACAGACGCTCTCTGTATACTGACCAGATCCTCGTCATTATTTTCAGGAAAGAAAGCAAGCATGAGGATTTCCAACAGTCACCTGCAGCAGCTCACCATCTTCACCACCGTGCTGACGGGTGCAGGGATCGGCACAATGTACTACCTGCTACAGAGTGAGTACAAAAGCTTACAGTTAGTGAAACTTTTCATTTCAGCAGCTTCGATCATGTACTGAAATGTGTCATTTGAGAGTGTAGAAAAATTCAACTTGACGTTAACTTCAGCTGCACTCCTGAGAGTGAATTCTTCAGGTTTTCAGCTCCAGCTGACCTGGGCTGGCTTCAGGATTTAGCACCACTCTGTGGTTTGTTGCACATGTTCAAAAACATGGTGATCTAATTACTGTTTGAATGTCATCACCTGTTTTGGTGGTTTAACATAATTTAAGTTGGGTTTAACCTCCTAAGACCTGAACTCTTCCACAGCAGCATTTTTAATCTCTTTGATATTTGGGCTGATTGGGACCTGATGAATGTAAAAACAAACTATTACCAGATTATTTTTTTATCTTTTTGTTTTTAAGAAAAATAAGAGCCACATATGAGGATATTTGTTTAAAATTTTGAAAGAACAGTAGCAGGATAATGTCCTTGTAAGTGGATATCAGGCCCTTATAGAGCAAAATTGAGTATTTTGGTCTAAATAACCCAAAATGTGACGTCCACATATGTGGACGCCAGGTCCTAGGAGGTTAAAAGAAATGAGAAAAGAGAGGTGCATGATAATGTACTTTTACTAATTGTAAACATTTTGCACGTTATGTGTGCAGTGAGTGAATGATAAAGCCTAACCCTTCTTGCTCTAATATCTGACCCTCTTCTACCTCGACAGCTGACAACACGACTTTGCAGTTGTGGTGTCCTCTTCTAGAAACTCCACAATCTGAGCACATTGTCATTCAAAAAGCAGCTAAAAGCTCACATCACTACGCAGGATGGTGGAAATCCTGCCAGGCATTTCTGCCTCACCCACCTTTAATGATGCCCTTTAGCTCAGGTGCCCCTTGAAGGCCTTTGCCTGGGGGAGCCACAGTAAACATCTATGGGTGGCATCAGCTGAGGACCACCAGCCAAGGATGTTTATCCCCTGTTGTTTAGCCCCCAGACCTTGTGCGATCTCTGTAATCACAACCACATGCTGGCTTTATGCTTCTGCTGCCAGTTTTCTGGTGGCTGGCATCAGCGCTGCTCCCGTGCAGCGTAGACTGCAGAGGAGGAGTGAAGTTGAGGAGCCAACAAAGCCCTGATACCTGACTTCCAGTGAGCATATTACAGCATTTCAGTCAGCCTCCCGAGACTCAGCTGCCAGGTCGAGTACTTGGATTGCTTCCTCTCATTGCCAACCTCAAACCCTCCTCCCACATCAACAAAGAGAATCGTAGCAATTTCAGAGCTGGATCTCTGCCCCTTCATCGCTTTTCTTGCCAGCCTCACCATCATTTGCTTGATCTGTCTCCCTCTTTCCTTCCAGCCCTGGACGACCCTTCTTCTCCGCACATGTCGTCCATGAAGTTAAGCTTAGCTTCGACCTGGCCATGCACTGAATGCTTCAGAATGATGCTGAGGTCGTTCTCCAGATCTTGCAGTTGCAGTCACTTCCCTTTCTCTCGGCGACTTGATTGCCTGTGTCCACTCTGGTTCTTTCCTTTCTCTATTTTCTGCTCACTTTAGCGTTTGTTGGTGCACAACGTGCTGCTGCCTTCAGAGGGACTACTTTGCACCGTTGGTTCGCCTGCCTCCACTTCCTGCCTTCTGTCTTGCGCTGTGGTTTGAAACCTTGGCTTTGAGTCCCACTTGTCTGGCCTGTTATTACTGTGCAGTGTTGCTCCTCGCCCTTTTCCTTGCACTTGCATCTTCCCTGTTGTATCTGCAGCCTCTGAAGGTAGTCACCTCTGCCCACTCGTATCTGCACTACCTCATTACCTTGGAGAGCCATGGTCAGTCTGATAGGTCTACTTTTATGGGACTAGCTTTGTTAAACTGGAGGACCAGAAAGTGAAATTCAGCCACAGTTTAATGACGGTGAGATTAACCCAGACAAGACCTCGTTTCCCAGTTCCAGTTGGGCCAAAGGTTTTTCCATCAGTGTGACTGCTTATTAAAGTTAATAGATCTGTGATGTAATTATAATAAGAGTTCATGTTAAGTACAAAAAATAGCAAAGTAACGATTAACTGGGATTTCATTGATTGGAAAAACTTCTCTTGCTCTGCTACGTGATTTGATAGCAAATCTATGAATGAGAGAATGAATCTGAGTGTCAGCAGGTGGGGAGAAGTTGCTTGATGAAGAAAACCTGCCAGCCAGCATGTTTACTTCAGACTCTGTTGCCCTGGTAACTGACTTAGCCCTTATCACAGACTTAACAAATTCAGAGTTTTAGCTGAGCCTACTTCCTGGAATAGGGCCAGCTATACCGTTGCCTCGATGTCCTCCATTGTAGCCGTGTGCAATAGCAGCAAGACACAGAACACCTGCAATGGAGCTTGGATGCTCAGACAGCATTTAATCGACCATTCCTGGAACAAACATGAATAGAAACATGAATAGAAACATGAATAGAAACAGGACAGGAAAAATTTGCCGCTTCCATCTGTTTGAGAAAGTGGGTACAGAAGTTGGATCACAGAAGGTCTCAGCACAATTAACCTGCTGTTTAAGGGAAGAGAGCTTAATTTACCCAGCTTCAGTCCAACTCTTCATACTGGAGACCTACTGGATGTCTGCACTGTGATGGTTACTGGAGCCTGTTGCTCCGTCTGCTCTCACATCCACTAGCCACTGAACAATGCTGTTATAGGTTGTGTCTTCTCCCCTTCTCCATCTCTAGCCTTGGTGGGGCTTTTCTCATATTGTTCCCCTGCCACTAAGAGTACAGTTTATTCTCTTGCCTTCTGTCTGATAAACCTTATCAAGTGGTGACCAAGGCTGTGAGTCTTTGCTTGGCAGATTCTTAGAGATCACACTTAGCCAACTTTCAGTGCTTCCCCAGAACGTCCCTCCCTGCTAACATACGGGGGCACTGCTCCTTGTGGTTGTTCGTTTTGTAGCCAAGCACCTCAGCGGTCGCTGCTGCTGTGGTCTAGATCAGCTGATTCGTTTTGGAGATGGTTGCAGTAGGGATTGTCTGTAATGCTTTGTTCACATCTTTTAGTAGAGAAGATAAAACTTAGATAAAACTGTATTAATCCCTCGGGTAGCTTCCTCTGGAAAATCCAGTTTCCAGTAGCAGAACATTGACAGACATTTGCATAGTAAAAAAAAATTTAAATTAAAAATAAAGAGGGGAACACCCAGCGTGTCATAAATAACAGATATTAACCCTTTCTGAGATGGATACAAATATAGGAACATATCAGCCGTCTTCAAGCCTCTGGAAGTAGGACATCTGAGATTGAACAAAGTGTCTGATCTGAAGCTCTCTGAGAAGATTTGTGTGCAGGAGATTGAATGTTTCAGAGAGTTTCATGAAAGATACGAAGCACCTACTGCACCAATCCTGAAACACAGAATCGCTTAAGGATGGTTGAAAAACATAATGTGGTGAGACTGGACTCAAAGGAGAACAGTCAGTCTCACCGGTGTTTTTTCATCTGAGTGTGTGCCTCACCACTGGATTATCAAATGACTTGATGGAGGCCAAGGAAAGTGGAGATCCAAGTATTGCCAAGACAGATGTGTCTTTAACAGGAATTGGAAATTAAACCAAAACCTGGTCCAGCATATATTAGATGCTCAATAGTAATACTGGAAATTATGCTTAGACTTGTGGAGACCAGAGTTTTTCACTCAAGGGTGTTTGCCCCTCCATGTGTAAAAAAAATAAAATGAAAAAGGCGTGGAAGTGTTGCAGTGTTTACGGTGTATTCAGTTCACTTTGCATCCTGCAAACATACGGAGTAAAAATGTAGAAAATAGGATGTATAGATTCACATGACAAGAAGACCAGGTGATCCTCTACATACAGGGATACTTTATGCATGACTCCTCTCCTCCACTTCCCAGAGACATCTGCTCAGCCTCGTAGCATGGCCAGTGGCTCTATATCCACATCAAAGAGTAACGGGCTTGAGGGGACACCCTTGCTGGGTTTGGAGGTTAAACAGCTGTGACTGCTGGGAGTTTGAAAGGATTGAGGGTTTAGGGCAATTTTATCCAAAAATTAAATTTGGGTCCAAACTTGAATTTTCCCAAGCTTGAGAATAGATACTCGCACTCCACACAATCAAACGCCTTCTTTGTATCCAGGGAGCAGATACAGTCTGGAGTCTCCGTGCGAGGAGAATATAATATATCAAACGGATGACAGATACTGGTTTTTAATAAAGCTGGTTTGATCTTCAGATGCGATTGATGGTAAAACGATTTCCAGCCTATGCACTAAAACTTTGGTCAGTGAGTAAGGAGACTGACCTGTAAGATGAGCATTCGAGTGGATCTTTACCTTTCTTTAGAACAACAGTCATACATGCTTCATAGAACGATGAAGGGACTTTAGCTGACTCCTTTAAATATGGCAATGCTACACACAGTTGAGGTGAAAACAATACTGAGAATGCTTTAAAAAAAAAATCAGGAAATCCATCTTGGCCCGGAGACTTTCCAGACTGATGAAATCTTAACTTCCGCCTGTTTTATAGGTTCCTTTTTATAGGTTACATTTCGGAGAGAGCGTGGGATATTCAAAGAATTAAAAAGTTCTCCATCAGAGTTTTCTCCTGTGGAAGCTCAGAGGTATAAAGTTGAGAATTGAGAGACCTGGATGTGTTGTTACTCTAACATGATCTGAGGTGATGGTACCATTGGTCGTTCTGTTTTTGGGAATATGCAGTTTTGCCTGGATACCCTTCAGCTGTTGGATAGCATCCTGTCAGCTCTGTCTGTGCATATAGAACAAACTCTTACACTTTAGAAGCTGACATTAAACTGAGTGTTGAAAGGATGTCAAACATAGTCTGCAGCATTACCGTCTATTATATAATTGTGTTTTTTTTAATCCTTGGATATAGCTGAAGTATTTCTTTGATTTGGTTAGCTAATTCAAGTCACTCCCTTTTTCCTCATGTTTGCTGAATAAGAAATGAATTGCCCCCTCAGAAAGTCTTTCAGTGTATCCTAAATCGTCAGGCTAAATATCTCATTTGTTGTATTCGTTTGGGGGAAAGCAGATTTGTTTTTTCATGAATTTTAGAAAATTCTTGTCTGCAAGAAGAGTTTAATTAAATCACTAATGTTTTCCGTATTTTGGGGCATCGGGAAGATTCATGATTGGCACGAGAGTTTAACGTATCAGAAATGACCTCATGTTTTTCAAAGCACACATCTGGATCCGTAACGACTGAAACACCTCTGGCTTTGGCCTGACGAGTGGAGTGAAAATGCTGCCCCTCCCCCAGTGAGATGGGTGCTATCCGACCTGCAAATGTGTGTTTCCTGTTTAAACAACACAAAACAATATAAAACAAACCACCGCTGCCCTGCACTGTTTGATGTGTGAGAACATCCTTTTAGCAGGGTGGTTTACACCTCAATATTCCACCTAACGAGTCTACAGCACTACCCAACCTCGACAGAGATTCGTGCACAGATAGAGCCATGCATGTACAATAGGGTAAGGTTGTCCTGCAAACACAAATGAAACCAACACAACCGAGGCCACTGTGCCTCCTAAAACGTTACTATTAGAATCAGATCATTCCCACCCCTCCATACTCACTACTCCATAACCACCCCCACTACTTTTTCCCCAGCTGATGACGGCTGCCAAAAGGAAAAGCAGCGAGCTCACCAAAACACTTCCTACCTTATTCAAAAAGAGAAAACAAAAATTCTGTAGAATAGATTCGTAATTAAACCTTTAAGCTTCTGGTCAGATATGGCTGTGCCTTCAACCACATCAGAACAGAACATCTTACCAGATACACAGAATGTTGAAAAGTGAGAAAGAAAAAAGTAAAATAAAAGCGGCACCAATACGTGCATGTATGTACCGTATTTCCCAGACTACAAAGCGCACCTAAATATTAGCTGCACAAGCTAAAATCAGGGGAAAATCCTGTTTTGTACATACATTAGCCGCACCTGACCAAAAGCCGCAGGTGTTTCAATGTTGACTTATCATATGTAAGAGAATATGCACAAAGGGAATTGTCAGGAAAGAGATGGCTGTTTGGAGACACACCCCTTTTATTAATATTGTGAAAAACAAGTTATGGGTACATATTTGCACATGTAGTACATAACAGTAACCTACAGCACACCAGAAAAATAGATCCGGACTACCTTTTAGGCTCAGGTGCAGCGACACGGCTTTAACAAGAAGAAAAGTCAGTCATTCACCATCTTTCTCTTCTTCCTGCGCTCTAAAACCACCAAAGTCCTCTCCTCCAATGTCGGATACAAACAGGTTCAGGATGGCTTCGTCATCCACTCTCTGCTTCTTTCCTTCGTTGTCACTTACAAAACCAAAGAAATCCTCGTTGTCAGAGTCGAACACCCTCTGAAGGGCCGTGGCGGTGTCCTCCTCTCCATCATGCAGCAGTCCAGCCCTTAGAAATCCGTTAGTGATCGTGGATGTTTTCACACTTTTCCACGCTGTCAGAATCCACCGGTGGAGTTGGGCATAACTTGCTTTTCGCAAGTTTATCGCCGCTCATCATCCATGCCTCCCGCTGAATGCGTAGCGCTACTTTGAAGTTTGTTTTTCGCGCTACTTCGTACGGCACTACGTTGCCTGGCGGACGGACATGTGACTAACATACCACTCTTGAACCCCGATCCTTCCCCCAGGCAACGTAGTGCCGTACAACAGCAGAACAAACAAAACAAATCCTCTTACGATATGACAAAAATCATGGACAATCCATAGAAAAGCCGCACCTGACTAAAAGCCGCAGGGTTCAAAGCTTGTGCAAAAAGTAGCGGCTTATAGCCCGACAATTACGGTATACAAGTATGCAGAGTGCTGACATGAGCAAATACTTAAAACCACTGCTGAACAGTCTTCCCGTAACCATAGCAGCCAGGTATCATCTAGCCTCCTGCATACTGCAGCAAAGGATAACGTGACTGCGGTAGTTAATAACATAACATGGATGCTCAGGATGATACAAATACAGTGGATAGGTTGTCCACATAATCCCTCGCGTCAGCGGCTGAGCAAAGCCATCCCTTCTCTCTGCTGGTAATGTTATTGCAACTTCCCTCCCCGCCGAGCCTCGCGGATCAGAAGGTCCTTTATCTGATAGCGATAAAGGCGAATGATTACAGGCCATGGTCTCTGAGCTAAGTTTGGCTTAGCAACAGGTGAGCGATGGGCTCTGCACTCACCTTCGATGGATTCCACCAGACCTGCATGTTCTGTCGGCTTTCCAGGTCATTAACGCTGGCCACCAGTTTAGCATTGCTTTCACTAAAACTGGAACAGACATCCTCGTAATTCTCTAACCAGCTAACGTCTATACAAGTATAGAAGTGTGACGCTCTGAATAAAAGGGAATAACTGTCTCCTCGTCCTATCACATCCCTGCCAAATTCACTCCATATGAACCTTTTTAAAAACTAAACTCTTGGTTTGTGTTCTGTGAAAGCTTATTTTAACTTTAAGTTTTGAGTAAAAAGAGTAACTGTTTACATTCATACTTTAAAATGTTGTATTATTTTCTAGCTTTCCTGTTTTTGTTCACTCACATATATCATTCTGTCTGCTGTCTACTTAGAGAACTTTGCTGCGTCAGACTACCACAGGCTGGCTTTGCAGGAGTTGGAGGCATGTCCAGTTGCCATGGAAAGCCTGGGGGCGCCACCTTTAAAGGTCCACAACATCCATCTGACTGACAGATACAACCGTGTAGATAAGCACACTGCACAGGTACTGTCCTTTAGGAGGGCAAGTGTGCCAATAACACAGACAACCGATGCTGTCATCCCTGACTTCTTTCTTTTCTAGTTTTGCATGTGCAGCTAAACTGGTTTTCCTTCTGCGTATAATTAAAGTATTTGCTTACAAGTAGCTTTTTAAAAGTATTTAGATGTATAGAAAATTGGTGTAGAATCCACATAGTGAGCAAATGTAAATCACAAACTCAATCCTATTGCAAAGAACTCTGAATGTATTGAGTACTGAGTGTAAATTGCTTTGCAGATAAAGATTCCTGTGACAGGGATTAAATCCGGAGGCTATCTGTGTGCGTCTTCACTGAGGGATCCCAACACAAACAGGTGAGACAGTTGTGCCACAACTGAACTGCTGCTGCTGCTGAATTTGTATTCAGTTTATTTTGACATAGTGATGTGACTGACAGGCGCCAGTTTAGCTCAGTAGGTGAGCAGAGTTAGGCTGACATCAACATGACTGACATGCAGACGCTGCCATTCGTCATCAGCATATTACATTTTAGTGTGTGTGTGTGTGTGTGTGTGTGTGTGTGTGTGTGTGTGTGTGTGTGTGTGTGTGTGTGATATCATGCATATAGTGCCGTTGATATTTGAGTTGTATTTACATTTTCGATTAATGAATAACTAATGGAGAAAAGCAAAAATCATTATTTTTGAAAATATCACAGAATAATGTAACACTTCACATGCTTTATTGTAGAGTGTTGTGTTGAGCTGACACATTGACAGTAGTCATTTTTTAGTCATTTTAGGACACTTTATATTGTAAAGACCGTGTGTGTTTCAGGGCTGTGCGTCCTGATAGAAATCTTATGTAATGTGTTTTGGGTACATTCAGTGAATAGTTTATATTCACTTTGTAACTGACTAACAACCCTTTACCGTGTTAGTAGTCTCAGGCGTGGCTTCAACTTTAACACTAAAAACCACACAAACACACAAATAACAACAAAGCTGAAACAACATCTACGGGTTTCTAGGCCTTGAATCGTATTTGCAGCCGAACACTCTTCAGCACACTGTATGATGACTGCTGTGAAACTGTCCATAATTGTTTTAACCGCCGTCAAAAACAAATGAAGCAGGATGTGAACGCTAACCATAGGGACTGATGTGAAAGCTTGATGGTCGCTATTCCTCACACGCGTTCGTTACTCCTTGCAGGTGGAATCTGAAGCAAGCAGTTCTAAAGCTCAGGGAAGGAAATGCCATTGACCTGCTGAATCCTCCATCAACTACAGCACAAAGCCACGCAGCAGGGCACGCAGACGGGGTAGACGTGGGCCGCTGGCACTGACCAGCTTTATGAACAAACAACTATGCCTGCTAGAAGAAGCAGGCGCTGAAGATGTTTTGAGCTATATTTACTCCACATTCATTGTATGGTCTTCTTTTAAGGGAACCATCAAGAAGAAAAGCTCTGTCAGTGCCGCAGACTGCTGCAGACTGTCAGAGCTGAGTGGACTTGTGCACTCACTGCTGCCTCTGTCACAAATCATGAGAAATGTACAAATATGCACCAATCAATAAATGTTACAAATGTATTATTTTCTAACATAATTGACTTTCACACAGACTTGCAGATGTGTGTGTCTGTATGTGTTCAAGGGAAACGGTCTGATATTCATAAAACAGGACGTAAAGCTGTGGTTTCACTTTTACCGTAACCTTCTGCTTCCTGTGCAGATGTAGAGCGAACGCACAACCACCGATATAAAGAAGGCATGTTTGCCATGCTCGGCTTTCTGTGGTTTCTCTTCAGCTTTTTATCCTGTTATTTTTGCTCTCGGTCTCAGTCAACATTTCCAAAATAACAAATTTCCAAAATAGCAACACTTGAAGCTATGTGTGCGTGTGGATGCACTATCATTTGGTCATAACACTTTTCCTACTGTCACAAAGATTTTCAGACAATGTTTTATGGAGATGGTTGGACTTGTGCACTCAGATCATTACATTTTAGGACAGTGACGCAGTTTTTGTAATTTTGTCTCTGCACAGCACCGCAGTGGATTTTACTTCAACCAGCATGTGATTCAAGTACAGACAAAAGAACCGATTCGTTTTAAGTAAAGAAACTGTTGTTTAATACTTGGATGCAGTCTAGAGTCCATGAACATCACCAAATACGCTTTTCTGTTCTTCCTGTGTTGCTTCGTGCAGGTGCAGCAGTTCCTCCTTTTTTCCTGCCTGTCAGCTTAGACATTGTCATACTGCACTTAAACTATAACAGCTGAAATAACTCTAATAGAAATGAATACATAAAGAGACAAAAGAAACCTGGGAACAAGAGGAGCCTGTAGAGCATTTATCGAGCTCTGGCTGCAAAAGCTTACTGACAAGACAGTTTGAAAACAATATATTAAAAAGAACAAAGTTCATAACTTCATATTAAAATTTCAGGTCTGGAAAACACATTTGGGTTCAGTTTAATGACAAGTTGGTCTGTTTCTATATTTAAAATTAAATGACACGATGATCTGACATCCTGGCTTCCTCTTGCTGTTGAGTGTGTGTTGTACCTCATCTCTGTTCGGAGTTGAACGACGAGTTGTTTCGACTTTAGTGTAGATGCTTCAAAGATTCCATACATCCCACATCCTCTTCATGTAACCCCTTCAGCTTATTACACACATCTCATTATATATTAGCATTCTATAGCAGATGTATATGACAACATGAAAACTCTACTTTTATGTCCAGCTTGCACTGGGACAGTTTGTGTGAGGTGGCAGGAATGAGAATCAGCACTTCCAAGTCTGAGGCCGGAAACAGGTGGAGTGGCTGCCCCAGGTGGAGGAGTTTAAGTATCTTGGGGTCTTCTTCACAAGTGAGGGGAGCAGGAGATGTATAGATGGATGGGTGATGCAGCCACTGTGCCGGTCCATCACGGTGAAAAGCAAGCCAAGCATAAAAGCAACCTGTGGTCATGAGCTGTGGGCAGTGACCAAAAGAATGAGATCACAGATACGAGTGGAGGAAATGAGCTTTCTCTGAATGGTGACTGTCCTCTCAGAGATGGGGTGAGGAGTTCATCTGTGAAGGGCTCTTCTTTGGTAGACTCTGTACTCATGATGCATGCTCAATTATCCAGGTAGCTTTTAAACCACAAAACACGCTGTGTCAAAAAACGGGTCCACCCCAAGGATCGGGTCCCCGACACAGAGTATCATAGTGTACGCTGGTAAGTGCAGGAGGACTGGCAGGATTTATACATCGGGGAAACCAAAGAACCTCTGGCTACAACACAGGAGAGCCACCTCGTCAGGCCAGGACTCTGCAGTCTATGCACACCTACAGGCCAGTGGACACTCTTTCAATGATGAGGATGTAACATCCTGGACAGGGAGGAACGCTGGTTTGTGGGCGGAGTCAAGGAGTCCATTTACGTGAAAAGGGAAAGACCATCTCTGAATGGAGGAGGGGGCCTAAGGGTCCATCTGTCACCATCTTACAATGCTGTGATTGCAGCCATTCTCCAACTCTCTGTGACTGGGACTCATGGACATTGATCAGTGGGCTTTTATTATTATTATTATTATTATTATGTTTATCAATTGAATTAATTAAAGGAACTGACCTCACAGCCCATTGTTCATTCAGTCACTGTGCAAATGTCCTGTTTATAAGGTTGGAAACCTGCAGTCAGCTCAGACTGAAAAAGTCACCTGGATGATGACTAAACACTGAAAACGTCCAGATGAGCAGAATCAACCGTTGGGACTGTGTACTAAACATTACCCAGTAGTTCAATTGTTTCACGTATAATATTGAAACATTTGAAATTAAAGAAACGTGTCTCAGCAGTCAGTGTCGTCAGAATCATTTTATAAATATAAGCAATATCTTTTTCAACATCAGTTGTATCTACAACCGTAACAACACTTTGATTCGTCTGTTTTTCTGCACACAGTCTAATGGGTGGTGTCCCTGCAGGGACAGATATCAGGTATGAAAAGAAATGATTGTTCAAGGAAATCAGCAGCTGTTTCACACCTCTTCTTTTTCTTATAGTTCCAGGAAAGAGGCACATATGTTCTTGTTAAGTGTGTGTGTGTGTGTGTGTGTGTGTGTGTGTGTGTGCGTGTGTGTGTGTGTGTGTGTGTGTGTGTGTGTGCGTGTGTGTGTGTGTGTGTGTGTGTGTGTGTGAGGGGGGGGTGTAAATCTGAATCATTTCACCAGCAGCTTTCTTAAGCTTCCTCTTGGCCCATCAGTTTTGTCTGATGTGGCTGTCAAACTGCTGTTTATAGTTCTGTGGTATTATAACTATATAATTGTAGATGTGAATTCTCCAGCTGCTCAGCTTATCCATCTTTATAGACACACGACTGTCCCCATCACGTGGGTTCTTTTATCCCCACACAACGTCCTAAGAAAACAACAAATTGCATTCGTTTCAGATCTCTCGTTTAGTTTGGATATTATTCTTTCCAAAGTGGCAGCAATCTTATGACTGACGTTACCTTTAACTTCTCTTTCCTATTGTTGGACAGAGAACCAAAACTGAAATATGTGTGCAAAGAGGAAGAAGAAAGGAAGTGGTATCAGATATGATCAACTATCATTATTACACAGAAGTTTTACACCTTTGCAACCTGACATTGTTCTTATTGGGGCGATCGTGGCTCAAGAGTTGGGAGTTCGCCTTGTAATCGGAAGGTTGCCGGTTCGAGCCCCAGCTTGGACAGTCTCGGTCGTTGTGTCCTTGGGCAAGACACTTCACCCGTTGCCTACTGGTGGTGGTCAGAGGGCCCGGTGGCGCCAGTGTCCGGCAGCCTCGCCTCTGTCAGTGCGCCCCAGGGTGGCTGTGGCTACAATGTAGCTGCCATCACCAGTGTGTGAATGTGTGGATGACTGGATATGTAAAGCGCTTTGAGGTCCTTAGGGACTAGTAAAGCGCTATATAAATACAGGCCATTTACCACTTATTAGCTATTGTGCTTTAGGGCAGTTTTTTAAAGGTTAAAACCGTGCTTTCAGATGTATAGATAATTAAAAAAATTTCCACACATATAAATGATTTTGTGTGTGTTATTGGCAGAAGTGTTTAAAGCCAACATAAATACAGTTACAACTGAAGTCTAAAGAACAAAAATCCTTGTTTGCATCAGTCTTCTTTTTGTCTCTTTAAAAGTGAATCAGATGGTTTGGAGACTGCTGGAGTCCACCCTTTGTCTCCTCACACTCTACCCTCTGCAGGTCTGCTCTGAGACGTCCCCTTTAAACACTCGCTGATCACTGACACGTTCAGTTGCCGTGAATCTTCCAGTGGCTCAGCATTCTTGGGTTCCTTGTTGTCCATTTTGCACTCTCTCCACGGGTGAGTTTGATTGCCTTTAAGACATTAAAATCAAGGACTTTATTTTTTTTCAAAAATAGGTGTAATATTTATATGTAACTAAAACTTCTTTATTAACTCTAAATATTCAAAGCTGGAGATGCAGAATAAATGCAGGGGGGAGATGAAGGTTTTTCATCATGTCAAATGAAGCAGAGGGCTGTACTTAGAACTGAAAACCAGTTTTAGTTTTGATATTAACAGTCACGGTAACCTGATTGAAACTTACAAACTGAACTGCTTATGTAATAGGTCCAGTTATTAAATATAGTTTAAAGTATCATTAACATTTTATGATGACGTGTATTTCAACACACACACACTTGTTGTGTTGATATTTTCTTATTCTATTGCTTATTGTTTATAACTATTTATGAATAAATAGGCAACCGTAGTGGAAACAGATGTTTCCATGGGAACTTGTGTTATGGAAACATCTGTTTCCATAACGAAACATCTGATCAAAATAATATACACTGATACTGATAATGAGCCTTTAACAATCATAGCATTCAAGTTTACAGTAAGCATGCTTGTGCAGGTATTAACTGATTTATGAGTTAACATTGTAATAGATTATTTATATGTGCAGGTTTGGTCAAACACACTTTCTCATACACAGCAAAATGTTTCTGTTTAGTGTTTTTATTTAAGTAAAGTAATGGGCACAAGTAAGTGTTTTTGCAACAGGTTCCTAGTAACAAACTGCTTAAAGATACAATTTAAAATTGTTTTTTTATGGTCTGTTATGTGTAGACGGAGCGCTGGTTCATATCTGGTGTCTTTTTATGTGTGAATGATTCATCACTCAGTGTAAACTTTCCTCTGAAAATAGCGACGCACAAAGCCTCGACTGAAAGTGAGTGAAAAGACATCCGATGTCCAGCGACTAAACTCTGAAGGATCTTCAGAAAGCTTGGACATCACTGCTGATGAACACTTTTTAAAAACAATTTCAAACCATGACTCTTTGAAAGCAACATTTAAAAAAATTAGGGCTGGATCAAGACTTTTGCACAGGACTGTAACTCATGGCATATAACCCTTTTAATACACTTTTAACTTTAAATCAACCCTTAACTATTCTTAATAATAACAGTAAACCGTACCGATGTTTTAAAGTAAACTCTCCTGCAATAAGAATTGAATGCAGTGTTGAACTCAGCAGGTTGAACTGAGGGCTGCACCAGCAGTGAAACGAGATGTGATATTACTCCACGTCGCTTTTCTTTTGGTATGTTATCGCAGTCTGACGATCAAAGCTCATCAGCTTATGAGCAAAAAGCCCAGCCCTTTCGTGTTGGTGGAAAAATGCACCGTGTCGACCAATCAAATATGATATGGCGACATGACATTTGGTTGTTTAGGGAGAGGAGTGACGGCGAGAGAGAGAGAGAGAGAGAGAGCAGAAAAAGAGAGAGAGCAGGTTTTGAAATGTGAGAGATTTGTGACGTTTAGCGTGTCTGGAGCGTGTAGTTAATGTGTTGTCTTGAGTAGTTAGTGTGTAGTGTTGTGGATAGTTTTGTGTTGTGTGTCAGAACAATGAGGCGACTGCTGTCTCCAGGTAGAAACAGCAGTGACACACCTGCTGCTGTCAGACCTGCAGGTATCAGGCTGTGATGTTTCCTTTATAGTGGACAGAAATTATTGTTTTGTAGTGGCACAAATAATTTGTGGCATCTTATTGAAGAACAGCTGATTGTTCTGTAAATAGTTTGAAATGGTCATTAAAAAAAGGTAAATGGCTGCAAATAACTTTGTTTGCAAAACTTGTGCTTAGGATTTTAAAATTGACCATTTATATTTGCATTTAAAGTTATGAAATATGATTCAGTAAACATGTTTGTGGTTGTTACAGTAAAAATATCACTTTTTCTACTCGGATTTTATGTTTTTTGTCTGATTTGTGTCTGAACTGTAGATTCAGACAGGTGAGGTTGTGCTGATGATTCCAAACAAGGCAAATAAACAGTTTTTAAATGTGGAGGGAAAATCAAAAGTAGTTACAAATGGCCAATTCAGAAAAATTCAGAGGAAGAAATGTAGTTTCATTTTGCAATCTGATGGGACTGCAGTGGCAAGTTAAACATGTGAGGTATTTATAAATATTTTATTGTTTTTGCAAAAGAGCACTTTTAATAATCACGTTGTGTTGGGATGAGCCTGGTTAATGTAACATTATTCCAGATTGTTACATTGCAAATACAACAGCCTACTCTAAAGTTCAAATGTAAATGAGCCTGTTTTGCTGAAAATGAGTCATTTCTATTACACACCAGTGGAGAGGATCAGGGCTTGTTTAAGTCAGCAGTTTCTCTTCTCCGTTTTGAAACAAATGAACCCAACAGGATGGAGTATGCAATGATTGTGTCAGGGCTCTGTGTGCGGGTAGGCGGAGAGGAGGATCCAAGTGCAGGACTCGAACACAGAATTGTAAATCAGAACCTCAGCTTTATTGCTGGCATGAAAACCAAACGTGAAGTGACGTGACTACAGAAACACACAGGCATAATCTGAGGGTACAACGCGACACCGAGCATGGGAAAACACAGGGCTTAAATACACAGGGTAGTAATGAGGGAATGGTCCACAGAAGGGGGACACAGCTGGGGGAGATCAGGGCTAACGAGACAGGGGGAACAAAGCTGCACACACTAACCTAAGACACAGACTTTCACAATAAAACATGAAACACTAATAATAAACATCACTACAACAAGAGAATGAGAAAACAATCCAAAACACCAAGATAACTGAAACACAAAGTACCAGAGAAACAAAGAATAATCCATGATGCAAAAGTGAACCAAAACATAAACTCAATTGCTGGGTCCAACGGACCCAGAACCGTGACAGATTGGGTTAGTTATTTCATAATGCTACTCTGTCCTTATATCTTTGAAAGGAGTGCCTTATATTGATCTTCAATAGTCCTGGCCATTTTTGTACCCATCAAACTGTGTCTGATAATATATAGCATGAAGTTGGGATGCTCTGTGAAATAGGAATAAAAGCAGAATGCAGTAATTTGCTAATCTCATCAACCTGTGAGAAGTTGGAATAAACTTCTTTGGAGCCCATTGCTCCTGAGAAACCAATTATTGTTGTGAATTTTACATTGGAATGATTACTTGTGCGCTGATTTACATTAGTGCACAAATATAGTGTCATAGCTAGTTATATAGCTATGGGAATAATGGCATATCATGCTGTCCCTGAGATCCTTTGAGATGTTTTAGCAGAACCCTGTCTGGCAGTCTCACACTAAGGGACAAGGTGCCTAAACTCATCAGATGTTCCTTCTTGTGTTTTATGAGCATTTTTTTCCTGACTAAAACGAGTCTTTAATGTTTCTTGTGCCACAGGGTAAACCGCAGCCATGGACGATGGAGATGACCAATTTAGTATCTTCATGACTCTGTTTAACGACACAGAGACGACTGACCAAAGCTACGTGGTCAGTGAAACTGTCCAGCTCTGTGACAAGAAAGGTGTCAATGAATTTGGTGCAAAATTCATCCCAGTTTTCTACTATGTCAATTTCCTCTTGAGTTACCTTGGCAACGGGCTTGTCCTCTTCATCATCTACAAGTATGAGAAGCTCAGCACAGTGACAAACATCTTCCTCCTGAATTTGGTCCTGTCCAATATCCTCTTTGCCGCCAGCCTCCCCTTCTGGGCCACGTACCATCTATCTGAGTGGATGTTTGGAAATGCCCTATGTAAGATGGTCAGCAGTGCCTACTTTATTGGTTTCTACAGTTCCATCCTCTTCCTTACACTTATGACATTTGACAGATACCTAGCAGTGGTGCATGCAGTGGCAGCTGCCAAGAGCAGGAAAAAGCTATATGCTATCATTGCATCTGTGATCGTTTGGTGCATCAGTATTGCAGCGAGTGTGAAAGAGCTGGTTCTTCGAAATGTCTGGAAGCATGCTGTTACTGGACTGATGTGCGAGGAGTCCGGATTCACAGAGGACACCATGAAGCGCTGGCGTCTTTTCAGTTACTACCAGCAATTTCTGCTCTTCTTTCTTCTCCCCCTGTTCATGGTGATGTACTGCTACATCAGCATCACCATACGCATCATGTCCACCCGCATGAAAGAAAAGTGCCGTGCCATAAAGCTCATATTTGTCATCATCTTCACATTCTTCGCCTGCTGGACTCCATATAATATCGTCATACTTCTTCGAGCAATACAGATCTCCAGTTCCATTGAAGAATCGTGTTCTAGCGCAGAAAGCTTGGACTATGCACTTTATGTGACCCGAAACGTTGCCTATTTGTATTGTTGCATTAGTCCTGTGTTTTACACCTTTCTAGGAAAGAAGTTTCAGAGCCACTTCAAGAGGCTGGTGGGTAAGAAGATTCCTTGTTTGAAGAGACACATTAGCTTCAATAGCCAGAGCACCAGGACAACGTCACAGCGGACACCACACTCTTTATACGAGTACTAAACACCCACATGTGTGTTGGTCTACTGTTGTAACGTCTCTCACTGATGCATTCTTTAGGCCATCTGTCACCAATGTAACTGGCAAAGGTCAGAGATGATGGCCACAATCATTTTGTTATATCCCTGCAGCACCAAACCAGTCTGGCCCCGTGTTCGTTGTGTTGCGTTACAAAGTAATTACATTACATTTTTCAGTGATGCAGTAATGTAACATTTTACTGTAGCAAATTCAGTAATTACATTAGTTACAATTATGTTGTTACTTACAAAGGTTCTTCAGTTGTCTAAGTACAAGTTGGTTTTTACAGCACATTTCACAGACAGATGTCAGAGAGGCATCTGTGCACCAAGCAGATACAAAAACAAAATCTGTTTCATGTTTATATGGTTTTTTTTCTTCCTACTACTTGAACAACTGATTTCAGTTCATGTGCAAGTGGAGGAAAATGCTGGCGCTTTGGGAGATGTGAACATTTATTTTTCTTGTATAACAGCGTGGTAGCACAGTGCAAACTGCATCCAGGGCAGAAAAAAACTCTTTATACTGCTAACACAACTTTGGCTCAATCATCGGCTCAGACAGCATGCTAATGCAACGCTAGCTGAGAACCCAGAGAGATTTTAAAGCTGAGTCTTTGCCAACCCAAGCTCAGCAGACAGAACTTGAACTGCAACAGGTACCAAAACGTGATTAGCAGTCAAACTTCCAGTGTGCTGTGGCGACCGCTTTGAAGGTTGGTTCCATCTTTGCTTTGTTGTCATTTTTGTGTTCATATGTAAATACTAGAAAGAAATCATATAGGTAGCCTAATATGCAACGAATCCTTCTCTTATTAAACATAAACATTGTAGAAATACTATTGAAGTGTACTTTTATTTGATACCTACAGACACTGATACAATTATTAGGCTACTTAAAAACACGTTGCCTTGAATTATATAATTATAATAATGCATGTGAAAGTTTGATATTCTGAATCTTTGTTTAAGGAAAAGTTTTTTAACTGGACAATCTAACGTTTTAATCTAATACTCTTCACTCCACACGGCTCTCAACAGATGATCAGTTTTTGTTATTATCAGTTTTCCCTGATAATAAGCAATCTTTAGTTGACTTCACTCGTCTCCTGCTGCGCCGCTCTGTCAGATTACGTTTTAAACCTGCTTCATGTTTGTCACGTGTTTAAATCAAGAGTGCCTAACTGAAATCATCCAATAATGTTCTATTTGTGTTAACATGTATTAGACTCATACTCAAGAACAGCTATGAAATTACTTTTGGTATGCATACTTCATGTGTTACGTTACAGCTATATCTACTATAGTCATGCTGTAGAATTATGATTATGTGTTGCCGAAATGAAACAGCTGATTGTCTGGTCAGTCTCTGGTTTGTGATTTTCAGGCAGCAGAGCAGAGTGGGATCATATATTTGAGAAAGTGCGAGCTAACAGCTCTATGTTTGCTGGATAAAGTGATGTTGGTATTAATCGTTTGTAGGTGTTATGTGGATGTAGCCAAAAAGCTGAATGAAAAGATCAACCCAGGATGCTTCTGGAAACATGTATTATTACCAGGCTGATATGTAGTTATGTTATAAACCCATATGTTATTCACAATACAGAAAACATTGCACATTTAAACTGAGACATCAAATTCAAAATGAACTATTTGATTTGACACAGGCTTTTTGGAACTGGGGTTTCATTTCAACAGTTTAAAGCTACTGAATGATGACATTTTGGCTACTTCTGCACCTACTGCATATTTCTGTATTCTGCTTTATGATTTGATGGTTTTTATATTGACTGTTCTTGTATTGTAACATAATGTATATGTTTGCAATGCATCTGTATCTTTTAAATAAACTGTATGGATGATTTAAACTTTTCCTCACTGCCGTCTGTCCTTTTATGGAAACATTTATTACCACTTTGGGAGTCTTAGCAAACGACCAGATTAGTTCCCTTTTCTGACAGAACATCTGGTTGTTGCTTCCTGTCACATACGCATTTTCTAGTGAATCACCTCATGCAACAGGACAAAATAACTATGTATTGCAGCAACATGCTGAAATGATGAAATAGGCTTGGTTATCTGTACAGTGTGAGTCAGTGTTGTTACAAATATTGTTCGTCATTTTCATAAACACTGGCCTGAGGATCTGGATGGCCATCACCCTGAGCACGCCGTATCTACTGAGCTGGGTTGGGTCTGGTATGCTCCAGCACTTACAGCAAGAAGGTTTGTAGCTAAAAACCCAGCTGGGGCCCATTGATACTGGGATGGTGTGACAGGTAGGGGGCAGGACACGACCACGATTCACCATTCAGGACATCTTTACACACGGTTGCTGTACAAACCACAGCTGCAGCTCTCCGCTCACAGCTCGACATCCACATCAGCAACAACACAACAACAGGCCCTAGTTCATTTATGTGCAGGGGAGGAGTGACGTGCTGATTCCGCTCAGGTGCGCCAACCTCCCCCACAGCCACGCCACGGACCACGCCCCGCCACATTTGAACGTTCTCCCTGTGCAGCAGCAATTCATTAGTAATTCCAAATTGGCCATGGATGTTAGATGAAGGGTATAACATTCAAGTTGTGTTCCTGCCATCAAATTCAAAAATGGTTTTTCTGAAATATTGGATATGTTTAATATGTTCTATTGTCAATTATAACCATTATGACTGTAGTTCATAATGGTTATAAGAAGAACAGTTAGATGTACTAAACAGATTCTTTGTAAATAAAAACTGTAAACTGCCACAAGCCCCTGAGCTATGCTTTTGAGCAGGTATGTAGGTAGACTTGGTCTGCAGTGAGTTCCAACCTCACATATAAGATACTAAACTATGACTTGTTTACCAAGTCATGGATGCAGGGAAGCTATGCACTGGCTAACCCGGCGACTTCAGAAACCCTGAATGACCATGGAGGACAGCTACAATGGATGACTCCAGAATTTTCCATTCATTAAATAAAACCTCTGCACAACATCTAACCAAGTCAAGAACAAGAGGTTTGTGTATCATGTAAGAGCCTACAATGAAGAGGCACCAGATGGAAATAGAAAAGGTTTACAGCATGGTGTGACCCACCGGTTACACTCAAGAACAGGAAGGCCAGATTAGACTTAGGAAACATCTGCAAACTGCACAGATGAAACCAAAATGAAGTTGTATCCCGATGACTGGAAATGGCCAAAGCATATCTCATCATCTGTCAACGAGTTTAGAGGCAGTGTTATGGCACGGGCATGTATAGCTGCCAGTGAAACCAGCCTACTGAATTCTGAGGTGCACACCAAATGCTGCAAATCTGATCAGACAGCATGTTACAGTGCAAATGAATAATAACCCAAATCACAAAGCAAAACTGAAAGAGTTTCTCAAGGCAGGTCAGTCAGCTGATCTCAAACCAGCAGAGTGTCACAGTACTGGGACCGCAGCGTTTTTGAGTTTCACTGTATTTTGTTATTCATTTGTGTTCTAGTTTCAGTTTAGCTTATCTAGTAAATCTCTACGATGTCCAGGTTGGCGTTTTAGTCCTTTGGTTTTTAGATCCTTATATATCATCTCCCCCTGTACTAAGTCTCCCTGGTTCATGTTTGATGCCTGTGTGGTTCTTGTTGTCAAGTTCATGGCATGTCTGCGTCTCGACATGTTTCCTGTTTGTTTCAAAAGTCTTGTTTCCATGTTCTATGTGCGTTTACACTTGCCCTGTGGTGTCATTATGGTCAATTGTGTCAGCTGATTCCCCATGTGTGTTCACTTCTTGTGTCTCTTACTGTTAGTTGTCAGGTTGCCTACTTACGCTCCCCCCATGCAGTCACAGTCATAGTTAGTGTCATAGTCACAGTTAAAATCATAGTTTACTTCTCAGTTTAAGTCACAGTTAGAATCACAGTCAAAGTTATAAAGTCATAGTCTGGTCTTAGTTCTCACTTTTTGGTTTTGTAGTTCATGAATCAGCCCAAATAAGGCTCGCTTTTGTTTTGCAACCTTAGCACAGTCTTCCTCAGTGTTTGCTTTTGGGTCCCCTTCCTCCCTCCACACAGTCTGCCAGTACAGATCGTGCCAGTAGGACCTGACCATGCCAGACCCAGTGACACAGGAAAGAGAAATTATTCAAGCTGTGGAATCACTATCGACTGCATAGCTCCGGAAAGGAGGAATGGGAAGCGTTAGTACACCAGATGTGTGTCAGTCTTTCCCTGGTTGTGGGAGGGGCTACCCCCGATGGACAGTGACTTTCTCAGTACCATTCTGCAACTCTGTTTGCAACTATAGAAAGTAGCTGTGTAAACTTCAAATATCTGCTCGGTTTATCAAGACATCACATATTTGCAAAAGCGCTCCGATGTTTTCGGAGACGTCTGTTACCCACCAGCTCGATAGCTGACCGGTAGTTCAAGGCTCACTAGAGCCGGCGAGAACAGCAAACTCCCGACACATCATTTTCAAACCCCCGTGATCTTTCGCTACTCAGGTTAAACATGATATATAAGTCACTTAGATAACTTAAAAATGTTATCGTTTGGCTTTTTTCAGTGTTTTATTTGTTCGTCTGGCTGAAATTAAAGTTATAGTTTTTACACAGCTGAATAAACGTCAAACAGAAAACTGATTAAACAGAAGTGTGAGATGATAGAGAGTTTACTCCAGTGTGCTGTTATATTTTAGATAGAAAGAACAGACGAGGAGCCAGCCAGCAACTACTTGCGTCAGTTATGAAATCAGCTGAGCTCATCCAGCCTCCTCATGTTTCCACTGGAGGTTCTGGAGAAACACTCCAGCCATCCGTTCCAGCTAGAGGATCCGAGGTGCCCGTCCAACCATCTTCTGTCTCCGCTGGAGGTCCTGAGGGGTCGCTTCAGCCGTCTGTCTCTGTTGTAGGTTCCGAGGAGTCCATCCAGCCATCAGTGTCACCTGCAGTACCACCACCTGCTCCATCGCTTGCAACTGCCACGCTGCCACCTGGTCCAGCTACCTCGCCTGTGGTTGCCACACCACCGTCTGATCCTGCCTCGTCTGGTCCTGCTCAGCCCGCACATCCACATCTAGTACCTCACCGTCACCGGCCACTTTCCAGGCCAGCGGCTGGGCATCTTCAGTGTCATGGATGGCCTCTTGAACTCTGTCACCGCCATCTTCCACATCCTCAACTGCTCCATTGTCGCCGCTGGCTCAGAGGTTGGCGCCCTGAACTGTTCTGCCATGGACTCCTCAGGGGTCGACCTCCTGAAATAAGGAATATTTAATGGCTGTGTGGCCGACCTTCAGGTTGATCTCCCGAACAGTTAGATTACCGGCTTTTGTGCTGCCAACCTCCAGGTTGACCTCTAGAACTGTTTTGTTACGTTGGACCTTCAAAGTTAGGCTTTTTTGACTCGTTTTGCTCATGTTTTGGTCTGGGGTCCCTTGTTGAGGTTTGTTTATTGGTTGGTTTCAGCAGGTGGATTTAGTTATGTTTTGGGCTGCTCAGTCGCTTATAGTTGGTCAAGAGTAGCTAGCAAAGGAAGTGATCATTATGTCAGTTCACAGATGATGATGATATCATTATTTAATGCATCACCTGACCTTTCTGCTAACTATACAGTAAATATACACCAATCAGGCATAACATTATCATCACCTGCCTTATATTGTGTTGGTCTCCCCCCAAAAAACAGCCCTGACCCGTTGATGCATGGACTCAGTTAGACCCAGCCACCAGGGGGATGGCTGTAGCTCAGGAGGTAAAGCAGGTCATCTACTAACCAGAGGATGGTGAGTCGATCCCAGCGTGCGTGCCAAATATCTTTGGGCAAGATACTAACTTCAAGTTAATCTCCAATGCAGTATGAATGTGAGAATACCTAGGAAAAAACTATGGAAAAAGGAGCTTGTATGAATGAGTGAATGAGGCATAAAGTGCTTTGAGTGCTCAGGTAGAGTAGTGCATATAAGAGCCGGTCCATTTACCATTTACCCCAGGGACGGGCCCAAGGTTTGCCAAAAGCATCACACTGCCTCTGCCAGCGTGCCTTCTTCCCATAGTGAATCCTGGTGCCAGTTGTTCCCAGGTAAGCGACATACACACACCTGGCCATCGATGCAGTGTAAAAAGCAATCCGACCAGACCGACTTCTTTCATTGCTCTGAGGTCCAGTTCTGATGCTCACTTTTACATTGTTGGTGCTTTTGGTGGTGGACAGAGGTCAACATAGTCAACCTGGTTGGTCTGGAGCAGCTCTGCAGTGCACGGTGTGCTGGGACACCTTTCTATAAGAACCAGCTTTAACTTTTTGGCAATTTGAGCTATAGTAGCTCGTTTGTTGGCTCAAACCACACAGGCCAGCCCTCGCTCCTCGCATGCATCAATGAGCCTTTACTGCCCATGGCCCTGTGACTGGTTCACCACGTTTCCTTCAGTGTGCCGTCTTCAGGTGCCATGTTTTCTTTTCAGCAGGTCACAGCTGGGGAGACAATGGGAAGTGAAATTAAAGTGGTAACAAGCATTTTGTGAAGTGTTAGAGACACAAAAACTGTGAAATCCACCGAAAAAGGGGAATAAAAAGGAACATGAGGAACAGAGAAGGGGCTTTTCCTTCCCACTGTTGCTAAGCGCTTGTTTGAATGTAATCATTAGGTTTCTCTCTATAGCAACCTTAGATTAATATATAACCTTACTATGTAAAATACTTCAAGATGGCTTATGTTTGGATTTCACACTGAATAGAAACTGACTGACGGTGTGTTAGGAATGAAATGATTTAGCAAAGTTTTTTTTGTGATTTTTATATACACATTGGAACTTTGCTTATTAACTCTGTGTCATCAATTCAGCATCAATTCAGCACAATGATTGAGTTGAATATTGAGACTGACATG